TCATTAATTTAACTAGGTTGCTCAATTTCCCTTTCAATCCACTCTTTATTTCAGTTATTTTTAAAATTATTTTTTAAACTTTGCAAAAAACGGCGAGGAGGCCACATGTTCTGATCTCTTCTAATCCCACAAGAGGAAGACAGCATTACCATCAATAGCCCAAGGCCTATTCCTGAGAGGCCAGACATGCTGCCTCCCTCCAGCCCATTTTCCAACCATTCCTCCCAAAGCACCCACCACCTCTCTCCTGGGTTCAAGAATTCACTGCAGTGGCCACACAGAGCTCACAGATTATGGGGTTTAGTAGGGAAGCACCATAGGCTACAATTCGAGTTCAGGAAAAATGCTCAGCCTCTCTCCCAGCCCACCGTCCCTCAGCCAACAGTCTCTCACAGTCTCTTTCCCAGCAGTGCTGGTCCCTCGGTGTCTCACTCATCAATGTATGTCTCTTGCATCTCTTTCCCAGCAGCACGTGTCTCTTTCAGGGGCGCATGTCTCTTTCAGGGGTGCGTGTCTCTTTCGGCAGCACGTCTTCCTCAACCAGCAGTCAGAGAGAGTTCTGCCTCTAGGAGGCCTCTTTTTGAGCCCAAAAGGGTGGTCAAACTAGCCAATCATAGCATCAGAACTCTAAGCACCTGAGAGAGAGTGGGCACCTCCCAGAACATTGTTTTGTGCCACTCCCAACAGAAATACTCCAGGTGGACAACTTCAGCAATCAGGAGCTCCTCAGTTGCTTATAGAAAATCCCACCTTGGAGTTTACAAAGACTTATGGGTAGAAAAACCACACTAAGTAATTTACTACACCACAAACTTATTTTTTTTCTAATTTACTTTCCTGGACAGTTTCAAGAGCATGAATTATCATTAAGTTGGAATTTTCATCTTTGTCTTTCCTACTTATGTATTGTCTCAACAGTTTATCATTTAACCGTTCCTTCCTATTTTAGAATCATGTCTCAGATTTGTTGAACATATCATGTATGTGTTCATTTAGTAGTATTGATTCAAGTTTATTGTTTCTATTTAAAATGTGATATCAAGTTTTCCTCAATGTATTTTTTTAATTCTTCCAATCCTTTATCATCTCTCTTCTCATATCAGCTACTTTCCATTTTTATGATGGTGGTTTGATTTACATTCTTTTCATCCCTTTTTCACTGCTTTTTTTGTCCTTAACTTTTGTGAGCCCAATGCAGATGTTTTTCCAAAATATCATTGGCTTATCATAATAAACATGAGAAGTTTTTTTCTACTTCCTTCATGAAAACTTATCCTTCTGTGTCTTTATTATATTGTTCTCCCTTTTTATCTATTTGTTTTGGTTTCAGAATATGCTCATATGAGTTTACTCTAGTTTGTGTGTTAACTATTTCTTCACTCAAGTCATTGCCAACTGTCAGAGTCAATGGTTCATCTTGGTCACTGTCAGTGTTTAACTCCTCCTAACTCTGTGTCTGCTCTGGTAGCATAGTGGCTAAGACACTTGCCTGCTAACCAAATGGCTGGCGGTTCAAACCCATCAGGCACTCCTCAGAAGGAAGGTTGGGCAATCCTACTTCCGTAGTGATACTGCCTCGGAAACCCAAGGAGGGGTCGCTATGAGTCGGGGCCGACTCGAAGGCACATAACAACAACATCTCTGTGTCTGTGTCTGTGGTCAATCTGATAGTTGGTAGCTATTGACATGAGTGCCTCAATTATTCTCCACTTAGATTTTAATCCTTTTTGCTGACTCTCTTGGGCTTTTAAACATGATGTTTCTGGGATTCAATGGCAACAAGTACTCTTTGGGTCACAGTTTGAATCATATTTGCTGTTGTCCTTTTGGCCAAAAGAAGACATGTTCAAGCCCAGAATTAGGGTTTGAGGGAATTACTTAAGGGAATGGTTACAGGGAGGTTTCAACAAATTGGGGACCATTACTCAAACAGTCTATTACAGGAAACAAGCCATTTTATCTGCCTAGATTTGCTTCCAATAGTGTTATTTCCTGGATTTGTGGTTCCATGATGACTGGAAAGTAAATTAATGATGTAGTAAAGAGTAGAAATTGTATTGGTTTCAGAAAGCAATTACTTCTATGTAGGTATATAACCATCCACCTCTGGTTGACAAGTGAAATAGAATGGCAGTGGAGAAAGTAAAACCCCTCCTTCCCATTCCTGGTCCTACAATATGCCTCAATGTCCCATTTGTATTTGGTTATCAAAATTCCCTCCTAGGGTTTAAAAGATTGTCATTAATTTCTCCAAATTTTGAAACCTAGCTTATATCTATGTATTTTATCAATTTATTCAATGGGAAGGAAGGTAAGGGTGTATCATCTCTGTTGGTTAGCACCATCTTAACCCAGATATGTTTTCCAAATACTTTTTCTACTCTTAACTTCATATTAAAAACAGTGCCTATATTCAAATCTACAAACATTTATCAAGTGTTTTTGTTGTTGTTGTTGTTGTTTTTTAATCAAGTGGATTGGGGAGGTGGATAGGGTATAGGTAAATGAGGTCAAAATGACTTAATCCTATGTTTGGTAACTATTTAACAGAAACTGAATTTTGATTTTCAGTATAAAAATTTCTGGGGACAGTGTCCTGTGTGTTACATGGTTCTGAGAATACATTTACTTAGTGATTAAAATAAAATATATTCCTAATAAATTCTAGCTTTCTGTCTGCCCCTCTGTTCTATCTTCCCCACTCAAAGAGTGTTCTCCTAAGAGTTAAACTACTTTCTGGTTCTTCATTTTTCATTCACTTTGGCAACTTTCAACTAGAAAACTTATTTGATGGACATTTTCCCAATTAAACAGTTCTCCCAATTCTTGCCAAGAAACACAATACTAGAAAGTATTAATGAGTGATAAAACCTCTGAAAAGTTACTATGCCAGGTTCAACTGGAAAAGGTCCAGTGATTTCAGGTCTGTCTGTAGCAGACTTTATTTACTATAAAATGATCTCTTGCTAAAGATGTATTAAGAAAATACCTATAATGTATATTTTTTCTGTATGTTTAAAATGTTCATGAGTGATTTAATCCTTTACCAATATATATGGAAGATATTTCCCTCAAAATTTCATTTCTAAATGTAAATTATCACTAAATATTGCATTTGTCTTAACTAAAATCTGGTTTTACTGCATTAAAAAAAAAAAAAAAAAGACCTAGTGTTAGATTTGCTGTACTCTGAGAACTCTCTGATCTCTAACTAGAACCACTTGTAATATTTTGTTCTTCCAAATAGCCTGGAACCACTTGTCTCTGCCCACTTTCCCCTACACTAAATTAAAAATAAAACTTACTGTTTCATTTAGTTAATTTTTCATTAATCATTCAACAGTTATTTATGGATTTTTTTTTTAACTAGGCTAGGTATTTTGCTAGACCCTGAGAATACAAAGATGTCTAATATAAAATTTATAGATCTCATATTCTAATGATGGAGGCAGACAGGTAAGCAAAGATGCTATAATGAAGATCTGGAATAGTCTCCTGGGGACACAGACGAGGAGGCAAAAGTAAAGGTGTGAGTGAGGTTTGGGACAAATAGCAAAAAAAAAAAAAAAAAGGGGCTAAGAAAGGGCCTGAGTGAGAAGCAAAGTGAAAGGGCAAGTCTGAGCTATAAACTGGAAGGTGCTGGAGGTGTCAAACAAGGAAATCTGGAAGACTATTGGAGTCTTGCTGAATCAGGATGGATGGTCTGTTGCTTTGAAGCTTCAAACACTTTCTGCAATGTTATGTTCCATTAAAAGCACTTTTTTTTATCATGACTGCTAGCCTACCTGCACATACATTCTTATATGTCCTTCTGAGGTAGAATTCTATCCCTATCTAAGAGCCTAGCATTCCATAAACTTAAGCCATGATATTGAAATCCAAACTCCATTCATCACCACCATATGTATAACCAGATGTTAACAGCCCAGATTTTCTTCTCCTTTCAACTATCACATGCTCACAGGAAAAAAAAAAAAAAAAATTATAAGATGAATGAAAATACTATCTGTATTTTGAAGCCATAGATTTTTAAATTAATTTAGTTTTGCACTGTTTTGCACTCTTTCCTCTCCTCCCCTCCCACCCCTTCGAACCAACAAAGAAAGTTTCTTTCCATATATGAACCTTTTCTTGACTTTTTATAATAATGAAATAATAAAACGTTTGTCTTTCTGTGATTGACAACCCCTGTAACACACATCTAAAGGCCTTTAGATAGCTATGTTTTCACCATAGACACCAACATCAGCCTCATAAACTTTTTGTAAGGATTAAGTGAGTTAATATGCTTAAAGTATTTTAGGTGTGCCAGCAATATAATGATGTATGTAAATGTTATTACTTGCTGTTGAGTTGGCTCCAAATCACAGTGTCCCCATATATAACAAAATGAAACATTTTCTGGTCCTGTGTTGTCCTCATAGGATGTTAGCTATCATTATTTTTATTGTCACTTGGCCTAGACAGTATTCAAAATGCTTTATTGAATTCAATCTCAACAAAATCTCTTTCAGTAACTGAGTCATGGTGAAGAAACTTAGTTTACTCAAGATCACACTATTAGTAAGTGTGGGGCCAGGATTTGACCTTAAATATCACATACTCAGGTTACCATACTCCTCAGAAACAAAGCATTTATTCACCAAGCACTTATAAAAATGCCAAGTAAATACTTAAACAGAAGGTATATAAAGGGCAACTGATTTTGGTATTTATGCTTATGAAGTTTACATTAATCCAAGTGACTTCCTCAAATAACAAATTTTCAAGTAAAAAAAAAGAATTTTTTTTTAATATAGTAACAGCTTTTAGAGTATATTATGAATGCTTACCTTGTACATTTTGTTTTCTATATCCTTAAAAATATGTTCAAGAAGCAGAAACATCTAAATCCCAGAGTGAATGATGCATTCTAAAAGAAAGAATTGATGCATTGTTCTCTTTACAAATTCTTTATTTAACAAATAAATCTAGTTGTCACATTTGACAAAGTATTTTAGTTATATTTCCTTTAATGTGCATGTGCTTGAATTGAGAAATACTTCCTCTCTTTCTTTAAGTACAAAATTATATCTGCAAACTGGTGGTCTGTAGAAAAGGAAAAGAGAGAGGAAAATAACTATTAATAAAATAGCAAAATGTATTTCCTTCTCATATAAATAATAAAATATGCTGTTCGTGACTTGCTTGTTCTCCAAATGCAGGGAGCTGGAACAAACTTATGGTATCATTTCAATTCCATTTATTTTTCAGTGCAGTAATGATGTAGACTCGGTGCTCTTGAAGAACAAAAAATGCTGTTTCAATTTCTCCCCTTGCTGCTTCTATGGAATACTTAGATCATAGAAGAGATACAGTTTAATACTGAAAAAGCTGAAACCTGAACTCAGCTCTTACTAACCAATCACTGCTTCTATCTCGATAGCTATCACAGAAGACTTAGGGTGAATTATGTAGTGATTAAAGCACTTGGCTAACTGAAATGTTGATGGTTCAAATCTACCAGCCCTGCTGAGAGAGAAGGATGTGGCAATCTTCTTCTGTAAAGATTTATAGACTTAACAATCCTATTTTGTCCTATAGGGTCACTATGAAGTAGAATCAGTTCAATGGCAATGGGTTTAAAATACTATATAACTTGAAGATATTTCTATTTAGTATTAAAGATTTCTGAGAAGTCAAGTCACTGGGGCAAATTAGGCATGTTATTTATTTAACTATTCATTCATTTATCTTCCTATTAATGTCTTGAAATGAGCCTTGGTACCATAGTGGTTAAACTCTGGACTGCTAACAAAAGGGTCAGGTTTTAAACCTACCAGTTGCCCTGCAGAATAAAAGACCTAGAGATCTGCTCCAATAAAGATTGCAGCCTAGGAAACCCTATGGGGCAAATAGAGACAGGTACGGGAAAGGTGAAAAAGGGAGACATGGTAGTAATACATGGACATTTTCTGTGTCAGTAATAGTAATTTAATTAAAAAAAAAAAAAAAAACTAAGTCAATTGCACAGAGGCAAGTAGCTCACCCCTTTGACATATATACTGCTCTAGTCCAAAAATATATTGCTCCCAGACTCCCAGCTCAGTTAAGAATAAATTGACCACATTTTTAAAATATTCAATAGAATTTCTAGACTCCAAAATCATTAATTTTCTAAATAAGCCATTTTTCTGTGTGTACTAATGTGTTTAAAAGTAATAAAATACAGAACATATTTATTTTTCATCACAAGAGCTGATAAAGGATACTATACAATGTTTCATTTAAAATAATATACAGCTAGGAACATTGAGGACATGAAGACATAGAGAGGTACATGGGAGGTAAGACAGCTGTGTTATCAGTGATGGCAACCATTGATCTACAGATGGATAGATGGGTGGACAGATTGAATGATCAGATATGTCTAGGCAGGAAGGAGTGTGCCCATGACCATGTATATATAGGGTTAACAGACAATGCTTCTACATGTGTATTTGTACATGCTATAAGAATATTCAGGTGTACAGTAAAGCTGACAAGGGACAAGGTTGTAATGGGTACTTGGTCACAGGCAGCTACCCAGAGGAAGCAATTAGATGGACCTGTGGGCTTGGGACCATGGTTTTAAGGGACATCAAGTTCAATTGGCATAACATACTACACAAAAATATTGTTCTGTAACCTACTTTAGTGTGTACCGGGATCTTAAAAGCTTGCCAGTGGCCATCTAGATGCAGCAATAGATCTCTCCTCATCCACCAAAGAGGAATGAGGAAAATCAAAGATGCATGGAAACAATTAATACAAGGGACTAGTAGACCATACGATCCTCAGCCTATTTGACTATGAGGCCAGAAGAACTAGATGATGCCCAGCTGCCACTGTCAACCACTTGGAGGGGGATCAGTGCAGGAGATTCTGGATAGAGTGGGAGAACAATGTGGAACAACTCAAAATCATAATAAAAAGACCAGGTTTGCTGGTCTGATAGAGCCTGGTCAGACTCCTGAGACTATGGTCCCTAGCTACCCTTCAGGTCTGGAATTGAACTCACTCCTGTGGCTTCCAGCCAAACAATAGATAGGCATATGGGGTGAACATTTATATAGGTACATGCAATTTATAAAATAAAATTAAAATTGAAATTAATTATATATAGCTCTGGTGGCATAATGCCTAAGTTATTTAACTGCTAACCAGAGGGCTGGCAGTTCAAAACCACTAACCACTCCTCGGAAGGAAGATTGGACAATCTACTTCTGCAGCAATACCACCTTAGAAACTCAAGGAGGGGTCCATGGCAGTGAGTTTTGTTTTGTTTTGTTTTGTTTTTGTTTAGGAATTGTAAATGTTATCCTTTCCAGTAAATGTAAATGGTAGTGCTTAAATCTTAAAAGAATTTCTAAAACTTGGCAAAAGTATTATTTTTTTAAGTTATCAGAGATCAGAATTTGTATTCCTATCTTTAGAATAACTACATGTAATTGAAAACAAACAGACATACTTCAGCATTTCTCCAATGCTGAGAATGAGTGGAGGAAAGGCTGTACCACTCCCCAAACAAAGGCACATATATTTGTTTTGATTCTCTATTCACCCCTCTATAGTGTAGTGCCTAAGGCACTTGACTGCTAACCAGAAGTCTAGCGGTTCAAGCCCACCAGCCACTCCTCAGAAGTAAGGGTGGACAATCTACTTCTGTAGTGATACAACCTCAGAAACCCAAGGAGGGGTTGCTATGAGTCGGATTGGACTCAATGGCACATAACAACACAACAACAACATGACATCTTTGTTCACTGATTGTGTCTTCAGTGCTTTGAAGATCAGGTAGATTCATTTCAATTTTAAGGTGTCATAGTGTATTGATAGTTCAGGGTGTCACTAGCCTTCTTAGTAGATAAGTTACCTCAACCTTCAAGCGACTGTCCTGTGCACATATTTATAACACATTATTCAAGCAGGTGTGTTTTGTATCTTTTCTACAATAGAATAAAAGCCTTGGACTCCATTACCATTGAATATTTTCAATCAGTAATATCATAAATATAGACATTTTTTTCTCAAATATTTCATATTTTTCAAAACATGTAAGCATTAAAAAGCAGTTTAAGCAGGCTTACAAAGACTACCAATGTTAAATTTCATTAATATATATGAAAAAAAAAAACTTATTCTTTTTTCTTTTGCTTTGTGAAACACCCTCTAGTTCACTGCCATTACTCTAAAGGTGATGTTTTTTTATTCTTCTTCATTATCCCTGAGCCATGAAAAATAATCAAATTTTAAAACAATATAATTTTGAAGAAAATATGTAGTATCTGTTGAACTATCTTCAGAAAAAAAATTTTAAAATTTATTCTATTTTTATCCTCAAAAATCACACTGAATTTGCGTTTTAATGCTCTGCTTACTAAAAAAAAAATAGCAAAAATGAATACACTTCATCGATAAAAGTATAAATTCAATTAAAAATAGCAGAAATCCAGTGATAAAATATCTTTAAAATTCAAATTAATTGAACTTAAGGCATTTGACTGCTAATCAGAAGGCTGGAGATTCAAACCCACCAGCCACTCCTTGGAAGGAAGATTGGGCAATATACTTCCATAATGATACCATCTTGGAAACCCAAGGATGGGTCACTCTGAGTCGGGTCTGACACGACAGCAGTGAGTTTACTTTTTAGTTTTTATTATGATAAATTACAAGAGATACATTGGTTTCCTTATTTGAAAAATACAAGTGACTTTGAGCTCCCTAGGTCATTTGCACAATTGATGTTACACCTATGCATGTAATGTTCTTTGAAAAATTTACAAAGAACAAGATTCAACTCTGCCATAAAAAAAGTAAGATTGAAAAAAATGTACAAAATATATGAGAAAAAAATAGTCTTCAAGATAGTAAATAAACATCAAGTGATGAATGACAGTGACCACTGAAAGAAAGGAAACAAACTTGGTGAGCCCTATAATTGCCCAAGATTATCACCATTATTCCTTTCCAGATTTTCCCATCACCCTTAACAGAAGCTCGGTGTCAAATAAGCAATGGCCCCAACTACCCACTCTCCCAACTGCCATGATATTGTTACTGTTAGGTACCATTAAGCCATTTTGGCTCATACCAACCCTACATGACAGAACAAACACTGCCCAGTCCTATACCATCTTCACAATCATTATTGTGTTTGAGCCCAATGTTTCAATCATTGTGTCAATCCATCTTTTTGAGTGTCTTCCCATTTTGCACTGACCCTCTACTTTACCAAGTGTGATGTTCTTCTCCAGATACTGGTCACTCCTGATAATATGATGTAAGTATCAGAGACAAGTCTGGACATTTTCACTTCTAAGGAGAAGCCTGGATGTAATTCTTCTAAGATATTCTTCTGGAAGTCTATGGTATATTCAGTATTCTCTATCAATACCATAATTTAAATGCATCAATTCTTCTGCAGTATTCCTTATTCATTGTCCAGTTTTCACAGGTACTTGAGGCTACTGAAAAGACAATGGCTTGGGTCAAGAACACCTTAGTCTTCAAACTGACAACTTTGTTTCTTGACACTTTTAAAGATGTTTTTCACAGTAGATTTGCCCATTGCTATAAGTTGTTTGATATCTTGAATGCTGCTTTCATGGGCATTCATTGTGGATCCAAGTAAAATTAAATTCTTGACAACTTCAACCTTTTCTCCATTTATTATAATGTTGCTTATTGGTCCACTTGTGAAGATTTCAGTTTTCTTTATGTTGAGGTGTAATACACACTGAAGGCTGTATTCTTTGATCTTCATCAGTAAGTGGTTCGAGTCTTCACTGTCTGCAAGAAAGATTGTGTTATCTGAATATCTCAGCTTGTTTATGAGTCACCCTCCAACTCTGATGTTACTTTCTTCTTCATATAATCCAGTTTCTCAGATTAATTGCTCAGCATACAGATTGAATAAGTATGGTGAAAGGATACTACCCTGATGCACACCTTTCCTGATTTTAAACCATAGAGTTTCCCCTAGTTCAATTTGAATGACTACCGCTTGGTCTATGTACAGGTTCCTCATAAGGAAAAATAAGTAATCTGGAATTCCAATCCATCACAATGTTATCCATAATCTGCTATAATCCACACAGTCGAATGTCTTTGCATAGTCAATAAAACACATGTAAACATCTTTCTGGTATGTTTTCCTTTCAGCCAAGATCCATCTGACGTCAGCAATGATATACCTCATTCCATGTTTTCTTCTGAATCTAGCTTGAATTTCTGGCAGTTCCCAGAGAATTTTTATAATTTGTTTAACCAACACATCAACCATATCTTTGCATAAGATTGCAAACACATCTGCCCACATGTTTTCTTCATTGTTAGGAATTTGTGGTCAGATTATCTGTCTCTTGTAACAGTAGGAGTTTTATCTCATACATTGCTTCTTTTTTTTTCTCCTGTATAAACCTAGCCATTAAGCTTCTCCTCCATTTATTTTTCTCCCTATCAAGAATATTATGATCTTTAGAAACTTTTCTTAATTTCTTAATACCATGTTTATTAAGGTATATCCACAATCAATGCCAATGGAAGCAACAATCAAGAAATCATACATATTGTATTGGGCAAATCTGTTGCAAAAGACCTCTTTAACGTGTTAAGGAGCAAAAATATCACTTTGACAACTAAGGTGTGCCAGACCCAAGCCCTGATATTTTCAGTAGCCTCATGTGCACACCAAATTGGAACGTGAATATGGAAGACCAAACAATAACTGATGCATCTGAATTGTGGTGTACATGAAGAATATTGAACGGACTGCCAGAAAAACAGATAAATCTGTGTTGGTGAAAGGACAGCCAGAATTCTCCTTAGAAGCAAGAATGGCTAGACTTTATCTCTTGTACTTTGGTCATTATATCATAAAGGACCAATACCTGGAGAAGGCTATTATGCTTGGTAAAGTAGAAAGTCATCAAAAAAGGAGAAGACTCCCAAAGAGATGGATTGACACAGTGACTGCAATGATGGGCTCAAGCATGGCAATGACTGTGAGAATGGAGCAGGAGCAGGCAGTGCTTCGTTCTGTTGTACACAGGGTCACAGTGAGTCAGAACTGACTTGATGGCACTTAATACCAATAACATTAGTAACAATTTAGTGCATACTCAGTTATGGAGATAATATTACATAACTAATTATAGTCATATAGTCAAACATTACATGCTTAATTATATAAAATTTAAGGATTTTTATAAGGCAAACTTACAACAAAAATGGGAAGACCCTCAAGGAGCTGGATTGACACAGTGGCTGAACAATGGGCTTGAGCATAGCAATGATTATTAGGTTGGCACAGCACTGTGCAGTGTTCTTCCCTTTTGGTTTATCTTACAGAAATGCTTTCATTCTTATTTCAGGAAGTCAATGAAAAACCATTATTATTCATATATTGGCATATTTAAACAAAAAGACTGAATTATAGAATGTTCTGGATTTTATCTAACTATGCTACCATTGAACACTCTGGTTGGACTAGGAGGGCAAAGTCTTCAATAATATGCTTCTCTCCTTAAGCAGAGAGAATTTTTTATTGTTGTTCCCATTTACTTCTCCAGCAATGTGCATTATGTGTCTACCAAGAATATTAAGCAACTGCCCAAAATGGCTTTACTGTAGTGGCCTCTGGAAATATGCGCTTCATAGGGTCTATTAGAAACAAGATGTATGTAAGTAAGTAGGTCAATAAGTAGGCCAGTTGGTATATGGATAAACTGTATGCATATAATTAAACCTTTTTTCACCTGACTGACTTGGAGAATGAAAGAGACTAACTTTCTGAAAGTTGTAACGAGGACAGTCCAAAGATTTGTGACAAATCATTTAAAATTGTGTAAGGTCTGATCACAGTTTGCTCATGTGATAGCCTAGGCTTCTTCTCACTGAAGCAATCTCTTCCAACAAAGTACTTATTCAGGCAATCAGTACCTTTTACAAAAGACCTCCCCCCACCACGCTAGAATGAGGAGTCTACATTTCTCACCCTACTGTTTTCATAGCATCTATGAAATAACATTCTAGCTAAATTTCTAGTTTCTGGCCCAGCCTCTTTTGCACTGTGGAGAAAATAATCTGCCCATCTTTACAATTATAATATCATAAGAGAAGATTTTATTCCTTGACAAAATTAATACCTAAAATTTAAATGTCAAAGGCAGAGGTATAAAACTGTCATCCAGATTTTTCTGTTCCTCCTCACTTTCCTTCTGCTCAGAAAGAGATATTATTAATGGGGAAAAAAAGTTGAATATGATGATAAAACAATTCCTTAGAACCTATCTTTTGGACGCTAAAGGTATAATTTCTGTGTTTACGTTTAGTGGAGGCTTAGAACTCTAAGGTAATAGATACAGAGATTGGTTAGATATTTAAGGTCTTTACATCTTTAGTTCTTTTAGAAATGACTCTCTTCTCTTTCCTTCTTTCTTTCTCTCTTTCACTGATGGTTTGGTAAGTGAAGTTGTTAATCTTCCTACTGAAAATGTCCATATATTTTTGTATTTTCATTAAGTATTTCAGTGAAAGGCCCAGGATAATAAAATTACTTCTTCCTTCCAGACTAGGTATTTGCTGACATCTTCCTTACTTCCTTACTAAGCTTTGAATGACTAAATATGATCATATCAAGAGTTAGATACATAAAATAAATTTCCCAACTCTTCTCTGTTGATATATACCTTGCCTAAATGCATAATCTTATCATTTATTGTTTTTATTATTTTTATTCTCTGGTGAATTATTACTTCTATGTCTAAGATGGATGAAGACTTACAAATAATGTATGCATTTGAATGATGGTGCTGGCAGCAAATATTAAATGTAGAAGAACAAACAAATTTGCCTTGGAAGAAGTACAGCCAGAATGCTCCTTGGAAGCATGTACTTTGGATATGATATCAGGAGGGATCAGTCCCTGCAGAAGGACATTATATTTGGTGAAGAAGAGAATCAGCAAAAAAGAGGCATACCCTCAACAAGATGGATTGACACGATGGCTACAACAATGGACTCAAACATAGCAACGACTGTGAGGATTGCGCAGAACCAGGCAGTGTTTTGTTCTGCTCTATATAGGGTCTGCTGATTTATAGAAATGTAGCTGGGAAATAAAATCTATAAATATATGAACATGGAATATTTTTTGCAACTTTTTGATATTCAAGTATTTATGTAATTAATATTCTAAAATGTTCAATAAATAAGTATTTCAGGACATGAATACCTAAATCATTCCTTAGCAAACCATGTTTTCAAGTTTAAAAGATAATACCCAAAACCACTATTTCACTTCCTTACCTTTGTGGATATGTAAGTGATTTTAACATGAGACGCTGAATCCTATATTCACATGTAGGACATTGCAGATTTGAGCTCTGGAAATATGTCAAACTAATACTTGAAATATTTACAACATCATTATAAAATTGAGCTAGAATATTGACTTCTTGAACTTTATAAAATGATTCACTCTCCCTAAAAAGAAAACATGATATATAAAATATTAATAATTAGAAAATGCAATTTTAATTTTTAAAACAACATAACTTTTACAATGCACAATAAATAGTGCAATCAATCATATGGGGAGAAGGTCTGTCTGTAAAATATTTGTTAAAGAATTATTGAAATAATTTAGTGATGTAAAGCAAAATATTAATAACATACATATTTCTATGTTGACATATTTTGAGAATTGTTTTCAAGGAAAAGAAATTGAGACATCTTGTCTTTCATAGTAGATGACTAAATTACACATTTGTTTGAGGTTATAGAAGTCCCTTTATGCTTCTGTTTTTAAGATCCCTCAAAAACTAACACAATTCTTTGAGTAGATTAGGTATTCAAATAATAATTATTTTTATTTGTGTCAGTTTATCAAATATTTGGGACCTAAATAAATAACTTATAAAAGCCTATAATTCAAAAGAAAAGATAAAAGGTAATACTTAATCATTGTAAATACCTGAGCATTAATTTTCACATATTTTAACTCTTTTAATTATCACAACCATTCTTTCTAGTAGGTACTATCGGCACTGCCACTTTATAAATAAAAAGCCTGAGGATCAGAGCATTCAAGCACCTTTCCCAAGGGTACACAACTAAAGAATGCAGAGCATAAATATAAACCCAGCCATGTGAACACTTTCACCACTCTGCTTAATTTCCCATCCCTGAGATCCTGGGAGTCAGTAAGGCCAGCTGGGACCCATTTGATTCAAAGGCAACACTTCTACCTACTCACTGTACTCCCCTACATTAGAGAAATGACAGGTAAAAGAAAAAAAAAAAGCAACAAAGAAATTAAATTTGAAATCTGTTGTAAAGTTTCTATTTTGAATCACAACAAGATGGCAATCATACACATACATACATACACTAACACACACACACACACACACACACACACACACAGACCATCCTGAAGAGCAACCAGTGGTATACCAGCAATCCTGCAACCCCATATTTGGCCCAGATATCCCTTTTCTTTAATTTCTCACAGCTTTTCATGGGAGTGAGGCCTAACAAATGTTTTCAAGCCCCTCAAAGCCCATCTTCTGTGTATGTGCTCAAGGGCACTCATAAGAAAGAGGAGGAAAAAGAAGAGGAGCTGGAGAGTAGTATGAATTATTATAAACCAAATGGTAAGTGTGGCTATGCCTGGATGGTACAATTATAGGTGAGTCCCACTTTTTACCGTATAACATTACACATTTTATAGAGTAAGCAAACTTTACTTTTCAATTGTCAAAAGGGAAATATTTATTTAAAATTTTCTGACTCCTCTGGCATCTAAAAGATAGTTTGAATACTAAAGCAAGAAAAAAAGAGTAGCAGTTATTAATTTTTAAAAAAATGGCCATTAACCAGGCTTATATGGATAGTTTACTTACCATGTGCTTATGTTCTCATATTTTATATTACTCATTAGAAGTGTGCGAATTCACATTTTTAAACAAAATGTATCAGTGTTTCAGGATGTTTCACAGAGAACATATGTTTGTAAAGTAAATCAAGATTCATGGTGTCTTCGCCACCTGACCAACTTTGTAATACCTGCTGTAGGAGTGTAGCTTGTGTACTGTGCTATTCCTGAATTAAAGGACTTTCCTACTCCAATGTTTCTGAGAGAAGTTTTCCAGATTCTCTATTGGCCCTGAGTATATACCTCCCTTTTGAATGCTTTGTTTTGTCTCCTCCTGTGCTCTCACAGTACTTTAAGTGTTCTTCTACTATAAAACCCATTACTCAGAGCTGTAAGTGTACATTTACCTTCTCCAGTATTCTGTGACCTCACTGAGAAAAACAACTGTCTATTTCAGTTTGTTGTTGTTGTTGTTGTTATGTGCCATCGAGTCAGACCTGACTCATAGCGACCCCTCCTTGGGTTTCCGAGGCAGTATCACTAC